GTTCTCCCTTCCCCCACCCCAAGATTCCAGATGCTGGCGCCACCACTAGCATATGTCATGAATGAAAACTTATCTAATAATTGATGGGTCTTTGTATTATTAATTTAGACCCAGTAAGTAATAAAACAATGTTTATCGTCTTGTCTCTCATTTTGATATCTCGCCTTTGCCATTCACTCTCTTAAAATGTATTGATTCTTCACACTTGAAAAAGGGTGGCCCATAACTATTAAGTGTGATTGGGCTCTTTGTAGTTATGATAGCGGCCATTGTTTTCGTAAGTTTAAATGAAAGGGATGCCGCTAAGGTATGGTGGCAGACAACAGTCGGCCTGTTACCGGGGTCATACGAATGTCGAGGTCGGTTTCTTTTGACGGAATCACTTCATCTGTGAATGTAAAACAAGGCTGGTAACATGTGTAAATCTCATGGTCAATGCCTAATGAATGAAATAGTTTGTAAATTATTACACTGAGATGCGTACATTTCGGTGATGGTATGTTAATGATCTTTTTTTTTTTTGTAAAATTCTTCAAGCCTGTATTATGGTAGATTTACGCGGAGGACTCCCACAGGCGCACCGCTGGATCCTCAACATAGGCCATGCAGTCCAAATCCAATTAACTATTAAAAATTATTTCAATTTATTAATTAAAACTAATAAAAAGAAAATTAGGCCTAATATTATTATTCCCATTAATATTGTTATCATCGTTATCATTCCCATCCATTATCAATATAGGCCTAATCATCATATCTTTATCATTGTCATCATCATCATCATCATAGTATCATTATCATCATCAATTTATATTCATGAACCATTGCGATCTTTATTGCTGAGGCGTTACTCAGTTTTGAATGTAGACCTCTTTGTTGATTAGGCCTCTTTGTTGTACTTATGTTTTCATCTTTCATTTCATTTATTCGTCTCAACAAATGTCAAAAAATTAAAAAATTAAAAAAAATCAAAGAAAACTGGGACTGGCTTAAATTATGGAATAGACAATAACTGGATTTGCGTCAGGAGTATTAAGTATAGGTGTAATTTTGCCCAACCTGACGTGAAAATGTACTGAATACTCGTACGTGTCGTGCGAAAAAAAAAATCGCAAATTGTTCTCGGGCGGTACTCGAACCCACGATCTCTGCAGATCACAGACCAACATCATACACCACCGAGCTTGCGCCTGATGGCCAGGGTTTGAATTTTAGTCCAAGTAAGCAGTGGGTACTGCAATGTGAATGGTAATTGTTATTATCGAGATGGAATGAACCATAACTGGATTTGCATCAGGATAATCAAGTACTGTATAGGTGTAATTTTGCCCAACGTACAAATACTGAACTCAATCAATCAATCAATTTATTAGGCTAACACCTTAAGATCGGTGGCACACACAATAGTGATGCGCATCCAAAATAACAGTTTTTACCGTAACAAAAATCAAGCTTAAAACCAGGCATACATGAACACAAATTTGAAAAAAAATATTTAACTTAATGCTAAACAATACGAAGAAACTTAAACTAACACAATAAAATTCAAACAATCAAGTCAATAAAAATCAAGCCTGTAAATTAAACAAAAGCAAAAAATATAAATAATTTTTAAAATGATAATGACAAACAGGGACCAAATGTCAAAAGTGGTATCATGTCTCTTACAAAAAGTTGCTTATTAAATGTGGAGAGAAATGAAAATTATATGTTTCGGGCAATCAGAATGGACGACTTTTTAAAGATACTGTAGTACAAAGTAGTACTTTTTTCTATTCACTTCCATTGCGGGGGGCTGTCTCTTATTCATAAGTTTCAGTGGAATAGATCCATTTATTAAAATATTGAAATTTAATTGTATTCCTTGGATCTTGCATCTGTAAATATATCTTTTGCCAAGAAGTTTATGTTCATATAGGGCCTATACCAAAACACACTTCCATATAGTTTATCTTAACAGTAATATTTAAATTGTTAAACAAGCTAAACACATTATTCTACAATCGAGAAATTATTTCCCAAGACCACCACGTTTCTTTTTCTTTTTTACAAAATGAGCATTTATAGTTGGTAAGACCAATTTTATACAAGAAATCATTTGTGGCAAGGGTTCTATGAATATATCGGAATTGCAAGTAACGTGTTTTGGTACCATATTACAGGTAGGCCTACTTTCATAATGGTATTATAGGCCTATTGAATTCCAGTTCATTTTCCCGATGTATCTTTAAATTCAATTTCCTACTTCTCTTGGGCTTTGGGAATAACGCTAACCATACTATTTAGGAAATTACCAAACACCCTTTCACTACATAGGCCTATTTTAGTTGCGTTAATAACGGGAATGCTTTGGTAAGAACTGGATAATTCAACTTCTTATTTAAATTAACAGAAATAACATTAATCAAACCAAAATATTGTACAATAATTTCACTTTAAATCATAATAAGATTTAAACTCGTTATAACCAAGTTGATACATTTTAGAGCTCCATTGTTTATAATAGGCCTAATCATTTTTATTTATTTATTTATTTTAATATTTGAGTTAGGCCTAGGCCTATACCACAAAACTTCATCGGAGTCACTCTTTTATCATTAATCATTCTGAATTCAAACCAACGCCTTATGACCTCACACAAAAAGGTATTACACAGTTTTTGGTAACAAAAATCAGTAACTAATTTGGGCTTATAAAATCCATTCCCTGCCTATATTTGTACCCATAAAATATATATACAATTTTCCATTCCCATTGAGTCTAACATCAAACACCATAGTAGTTAGGCCTACATTTTACCAAAATTTTGAGTGAAGCATTCATGAATGCAAAAAAAGCAATACAAGATAAAAAGAAAAAGACAAAACTAAACTAAAGAACTCAGTACCGTACGTGTGAAAGCACTTGCGAAGAAAATCGCAAGTTGTTCTCGGGTGGGACTCAAACCCTTGCTCTTAAACCCACGATTCCAGATAGTCCAGCATCCACCGAGGTTGCGCCTCTGATGGGCAGGGTTTGAATTCTAGCCCAAGTAACTGCAATGTGAATGGTATAAACAATTATTATCGAGATGGAATAGACAATAACTGGATTTGCGTCAGGAGAACACCTTGCGATTTTCTTCGCAAGTTGTTATCATGTATTTCCATGCGACATTCGTGATATAATAAGCTATAAATTTATAATGATTCCATCCACCCTCGCTACACTCGTGGCATTGTGTATGTTTTATACTTTTATTTAAATGAAATTCAGTTAACTACTTTTATCTGAAAACTTGAATATAACATAATGTATTGTAAAAAAAGATGAATGAAATGAAAATTAAATACATAATTAATAAATATTAAAAGATAATAAATGAAATGAATACTCTATAGAATATAATTTTTAGTAATAGCGCCCTCACTCATTTGCCGCCATTTGTGAAAATAATAACAATTGCGTAGTACTGGCGGCGAGCCTTCTGATTAAAAAATAATCAAGTAATTTAACTGCAGAATGCCTCGTGAAATTATTACGTTGCAATTAGGACAATGTGGTAACCAAAGTAAGTATTTTATTAGTTAGTATATCGTTCACGTTTACTATTCTTAATAGTTCTAGGGCTAGCCTAGGCCTAGCTAGCCTACCTAGGCCCTAACGGTTAGGCCCTGTCCTAGCTAGTCTCTAGGGTTTTGTAGGCCTTAATTAAGCCAACAGGGCCTAGCCTAGGGTACTACCTAGGCCAGCTAGCCTTAAAACTGTAGCTCAGGGCTTAGGCTAGGCCTCTCTAGCTATAGGCATTTCTAGTCTAGGCCTAGGTCTTACCCATCCTGGACTGGGTAGTGCCAAATTATGCACTTGTCTGTCAATTGTAGTCCAGAAATTGCATTCTCATATGAGATATAATTTAATTTATCTTCATATCAACAATACATACAATACAACACAACAATTATTTTTCTTAATGCAATTTAGGGTAGTGCGATTGCACTGTCTGCATCCCCCCTGTATCTGCCCCAGCTGTAGCAAATATGCAGAGTGAGACATGGAAACAGTTGAAGGTCTAGCCTATCTAGGCCTATGTCTGAATCCGAGAAGCACATGAGAGCCAGGCAGGCTAACTAGGCCAAGCTTGCTTGACGGAAGCACTAGACTACGCATGCATGTCACTACTAGGCAGATTTCCAAACTAGGTCAAATACATGGTTTACAAATTGTCATGCAACGCATTCACATCACCTTGGTCCTCGGTGTTGTGTGGTGGAGGCTTGAAATTTATTAATACTGTGATCATCATACAAAATAGGCTATAAAAAATGAAACCTTGATGTTAGGCCTAGAGTACTGGTAGGCAATTTTTCATTTACAAAAACACAAAGCAAATTGCTGAATGCCTAGGCCTAGTGTAGGCTACAGTAGGTAGGACCAGACCATTTGCCAGCACAAGCCGGCCTACATTCAAAACCCTGAAATTTGTAACGTGTAAGATTTTTGGCCCTTTATAGGCTGGTTTCATCTATGGGTGAATTTCTGGTACGTCCTAGCAATACGGGGACACAACTTTGTGTATGTCCCCGGCTCAGTCCTGGCTAGTGCCCAGCTATGGCCTGAGTATGGGGGCCGGGACTACAATTGACAAGTGCATTACATCTACATGCAGAACTAGAGGGATACTCCCCAGGCAGGGAACGGAGGAAGTTGCACATTTTGCAACATGGGAAATTCCCTACACTACACTAGTGAGGCCTAGGGCCTACCTAAAGTAAAGTGACCAATTTGGCAAGTGAGTGTGGACCAAGAGTGTGCTACAGTATGTTCCCTGTACAGTATAAGTGACATGCAGTGATGCATACATGTATGTACTGTAAACAGTGCAAGGGTGTCTGTTAACTTTGTCTTGCATCATCTGCATGCCTTTGCATTTTATTTCTCTAAAAATAGTTGGCAATGAGTTCTGGAAGCAACTTTGTCTTGAACATGGAATTAGTCCTGAAGGAATCTTGGAAGACTTTGCAACTGATGGAACTGACCGCAAGGATGTCTTCTTCTATCAAGTAATAATTTTATGTTTTATAATTTTATGACCTTTGAACAAGAAACAAAATCATTAAGTTAATTTACACAATGCAAAAAAAATATCTATTTGGAAGAACACATAGCCTAGTTTTAAATGTTTCAGCCATATTATTTTTTGTTTTCATATTTGTAATTGTTTTTAATTATCATTATTAATTAAGTGCTATTGAGTTATACTCTATGTACAAATTAGTAGCAATAGTAAAACTGATGGCAAACAAGATTTGATTGACAGATATAAAACCAACTAATCAGCGCGCGTCATTTAGTCACGTGATCAAAAACTTTTTTTTGGACATTTTAATTTCCTTAGACAGCTGGTTTAAACGCGAAACATATGTGAGCCTAGGCCTACGGTAGATGTCTATGCTTGGTTATAGATACCCAGATTTACATTAGCAGTGCACGTCAGTGACCTGGCCTTTGCCGACAACAAGGTTGACTGAATGCGGCTTTTCCCTCTTCCTTTGGGAGCGAAATACAGAGGCTTTTACAACAATTTCCCTGCCATGTTCCATGAAATAGATTAACACTATGAATATATGATTCATTTGCATACCACCTACCCTGAATTCTCTTTCTTAAAGAAGGTTGATAGCAAAGAAAATCTTCGCCAACTCGGTAAGTCTAGCCGCCATTGTCTAAGGTAGGCAGGGCTTCGCGTCCTTGTCGACATGTCAATTAACAATGTACTGATGATGACATAATTAATGTCGAAATATTGAATCCCAACACGATGGCGTGTATTTCAATACTTGGAGTATGTATTATACTTTCAAATCCCATATAGTAATGGGAAAAATATCATCCTTTGAAATTTTTTTCCAGGCGGATGATGAGCATTACATTCCACGTGCTGTTCTTCTAGATCTTGAGCCTCGTGTCATCCACGGCATTCTAAACTCACCTTACTCCAACCTGTACAATCCAGAGAATATTTACTTGTCTAAGCATGGAGGAGGAGCCGGAAATAACTGGGCATCTGGGTATAACCAGGTACAACTTTTAATCTAGTTTACTTAAACTGTACCCCATCATGGCCCATGATGGGGTACCGTGTTATAATATTCTGTTAGAAACCATTTCCTTACAGTTAGTTTATTTTATTTTTAACTGTCTTTCCATTTGTATTATTTCATTTATTTCATCTTGATCATATTATGCTAATTATCAAAAGAGATAACAACAATAAAACAAGCAGAGATCCAAACATGAGATAGAAACACCCCAAAAATTAAGTACTCTACAGTCAATAACCTGTAATGCATGCAATAAAAATATAGTATGTTAATGTACTCTATGATCTATTATATAAAATATAATATATAATCTAATAAACATTATACTAGTTTTTTTTTACAATTGAAAGATTATATTTTATCTCTATATCCCTAAATAAAATAGGCTGATCGTTTGCATGAAGAAATCTTTGACATCATCGATAGAGAAGCAGATGGCAGTGACAGTTTAGAGGTAATGTCGCCCTCTTACAGCTGATTTTTGGTATTTTAATCTGTTGCTCTTGAAAACTTGCATGCTACTACAATTTTTTGAACATTAGTGGCGCCCTCACAATTTTGAAGTTTTGGATTGTTATACACTGTGCTCTTATAATAATTGGTATTAAAAAATCACTATGCAAGTTTATTATTATTATTATAATGCACATTGAATTTATGTTATTGTATTTTTGGCTAGGGGTTTGTTCTGTGTCACTCAATTGCTGGGGGTACAGGCTCTGGAATGGGATCATATATGTTGGAGAAACTGAATGACAGGTCAGTGCCAGCATTATGGATGGTCATAGATATTATTATTGTACCTGTATTATGAAATTGTAGGATTTTATTAATTCATTTGGCATGATACAAATACTATGCCTTAGGCAAGACTTTTCTTAAATACTTTTAATATAATAACCTAGTTGTCAAGACTATCATATTTTATTATTATTTATAGTCATATGACATCATGACCATATATAGGCACATCATGACTATATATGGGCATACAGCAGTACAGCAGAAAATTTGATAATCTGAACAGAGCTTTAAAGCTCTGTCCACACTATCAAATTTCCTTGAACAAAAAACGGCTGTATGCCCATATATAGTCATGATGTGCCTATATATGGTCATGATGTGCCTATATATGGTCGTAATGTGAGGTCATCATGACCATATTAAGGCATGTCACATGTTTTTGTCAAATAAAATTTGATAGTCTGGACAAGGCTTAAGCCTTGTGAAAGCTATCAAATTTTATTTGACAAAAACATGTGACATGCCTAAATATGGTCATGATGACATCAAATCATGACTATATATAGGCACATCATGACCATATATAGGCACATCATGACTATATATGGGCATACAGCAGTTTTTTGTCAAAGAAGATTTGATATTGTGGACAGAGCTTTACATTGTTACCACAAACCTATCATTTGTGTCCATCAGGAATGGAGCTATGGCTTGCAAGTTGTAGCTTTCCTCCCATTCCCTGGGTTCAACTTGAATTAAATGAGAAAAAAATGTTTCGTAACATTATTATCCTCCTTTCTCTCAAGATTTTTCGAAAATATACTTTGTTTAAGCCCCCTAAAGACTATAAAACTGAATGAAAAAAAAAACTGTTGGATGCCATACCGTAAAAACTTTAATAGAAGCCCTGGGCTTCTTTTTTTTTTTTTGCGAACTTTGGATGGGCTTCTTTTTGAGATAAGCTTCTTTTCTAGGTTACTTTTGCAAAGTAAACAGGGGAGGTTTCTTTTTAAAATGAATGCTGTAAATTTTAGGAATTACTTCTATAAAATAATAAATAAGGCCACTTAACATCAGTTTGTATCATGGAGTGTATTAACCTGCTTTAAATCATCTAAACTACTGTTAACCAAGTGTGTTTTTAATTTATTTTGTTTCTTTGAGATTCATGTACAATGTATCTACTGAAGCCCATGCTATCTTAAAAATAGGCTTCATTTCCGGATGGGCTTCTTATCAGGGTTATTATCGCAAAGATTAAGCCCATTAGGCTGCTATTTGTTGTTTTACGTTGTAGAGTATATAGTCATGGTGTGCTCCTGGACTTCCCTTGGGAGCAGCAAACTTAGCTGGGGAAATCAGGCCTTCAGTATAAACTTCTTTTAAGCATTAAGCCAGGCATTCACTGTGTACGACGGTCGTCGGCTGACGCGAATCTATGAAGAACGCAACACGACGACACGCGTGCAACGGTTCGTTTTTAATGACAATTTGTTCAGACTGCCACCGACAATCAGTAGATGGCGTCACGGCATAACGACGCGGTGAGTGCCCGGCTTAGACATTCACCTTCACGTCAAGCCTCAAGATGCGCCTTTTTTAATAATCTCTTTTTGGAACAGCACCACGAGCAACGGTGTTGGAATGGCGTCATATAAATGGAACGATTGATTGATACAATAATGGTCATAATTTGATGTCATCATTACCATATATAGGTATGTCATATGTTTTTTCACAAGGTATTAAATCTGACCTTCTGCATTTTTTTAGGTTTCCTAAGAAATTGATCCAGACATACTCTGTATTTCCCAACCAACAAGAGATAAGTGATGTTGTTGTACAGCCTTATAATTCTATTTTAACTATGAAGAGGCTGACGCAGAATGCAGATTGTGTGGTGAGTGACTATAAATACTGCCTTGAAGAGGTCATTTTTTTCAAGGCCCATGAGCTAAGACATTTATTAGCATTTTAGGTCGTTGGCCCTTTCACTGAAAATGTTCACAACAAAAATTGCTAGGATTACATAAAATGCTATGACTTAAATGTAAAAATGTGCTTTACGAAAACTAAAAATGTTTTATATTTCCAAAATGAGCAAATTAGATTGCTTTCTTGACCTAGCTGAGGGTGTGCTTAATCCCTTCTTACCCCCTCCCCCACCACCATCAACAACACTGTTACTGTCACCTATCATAGACATTGCTGTACTTTATAATTTTGCAATACTATAGAGGCTCTTAAAGTATTTGCCAAGGAGAAGCACAATATACTCAAACTATTTAATATTTGTTTGCCTTATTTGAAGACATCAAAAAACTTGCTCCAACTGATGGACTTGCATAAAAATATATGGAATTAGTGTTTTTAAGTACTGTACCCATTTAAGGGTTTTGGAAAGAACTAGAAGTGGCATTTATGTGTCTAAATTGGCAAGAAAAATGTTTTGATTTCCTAATATTCAATTGAATGCTAATAATTTACTTAAATATATAATTAGTATACAAGTAAACAATTAAAATATTGAATTTCATTATTTAAGTGTATTAGCTACACAAACAGTAAATCTTTATATAAATATATTCAAGATTAATTTGTTTTTATCTGTCTTAACAATACACTATTGAAAACTATAATCCGATTTATTAAAATTGAGATGGATGATGAAGTAACAACAATCTTTTATATTATATAGCCTTTGTAAATACGAGTATGTAATAGTTCGAAATGGCATCACGTGACTAGTGCTACGAGGATCGGAAACGTTACATTTCCCCGTAGGGAAATATAACTTTGAAAAGTGACCGATCTCTAATATCACCGGATTACACCCGCATTGCGCCCGTAGTGAATACTAGTCGAGCGCACGATCGATCGCTCACAAATTGTGAATGTGTAAGCCCAGCGCATCGGAAATGACGACTTCAAATAGGGTTAAGTTTAAATCTCTCGACGAAGACAAATTGGATAGAGTTATTGACGAAAAGGATTCTCGGTGTACAAAATTTGTTGTGAATTCATCCGTTAATGTAGGCCTACTCAGTGAATATTGGAAGGCCAAGAAATCATCAATTAGGCCTAGGCCTACTTGCATTGAAAATTTCACAGCAACGGAGCTCAACGCGTTTCTCCGGTCAATCTTCACTGAGGTAAGGAGAGCAAACGGTGAATTGTACGCTAAACGATCAATGATAATGCTACGGACTACATAAACATTTTTAAAAAGTGACTGTAATATGAAGTATTTAGGCTATGTAATATAACAGTTAATTATTTGCATCTATTTCTGGCTATGTAATATAACAGATATTGACTTTTCTATCGGTGTAATAATAACATTTGATATCCCCTTGGAATTATATTTTTTCTCAGGAATATATTTTCCCTCGGCGCTACGCGCGTCGGGAAAATATAATCCCTCGAAAAAAATATGATTCCCTTGGGGATATCAAATGTTATATTACACCTCTAAGCAGGCAATATTTGTATAATATTATGATTGTATTATTTGGCACATGTCTTAATATACTAACAATAATAACATTTGGTTTGGTACATTTTCCATATACGATTGATGAAGTAATTCTTAAAAAAATCAGTATTCTACAGGTTCTATGTTAATGGTTATGTAAATGGGTGTTTAATTGCAATAAGTTTTTATTTTTGCTATTATATTTTGTAGGTGGTACTTGACAACACTGCCCTGAATAGAATAGCAGCGGACAGGCTGCACTTGGCCAATCCTGATTTCACACAGATCAACCAAATGGTAAAAAAAAAAACATTTAGGTTTTTGAATTTCCAAGTAACAGCATAAAGTACACTTGACTAACACCCTTAATATTTCTATAAGTATTCCTTGCATGAAACCACTTTTTAATACAAAAAATGATCGATGAAATGTAAATTTGAAGTGCTAAAAATGTAGGAAATACAAAAATGATAACTAAGTACAGTAAACAAAGCTACAGTATATAAAAATAGTGTAAATTGCTAACATATTGAAATTACAATTGTAAACATAAAAATCTATCTAATAGAGGAACAGATGACAGAAGTGAATGATGAAAACTGTGATTAATGTGGATGCATCCATTAATCAAGTATCAATCCATTATCGCAAGAATTTTAAAAGAACTAAATTAAATAATGATCAGAAAACACCAGTTTCAAAACAAGTTTGAGTGGATTTATTCAAGATGAGCTTTCCAAGGCATCAATACTCATTCATGTGGGTAATAATACGATTTGACATTTACAAGTCAAGGCTGGTGACATAGCTACACTAGTTTGTTGTATCAATATAATAATGGTACGGAGACAGCTGAGCCAGCACATTTATAACTAGTTTCACTCGATATATTCAACAGAATTATTATAACTATCGTTATCATAAATTTATAGTAGGCCATAAGAAAAAATTGACACTTGATATTTATCAATGGATGTACGGAAATTGCTTTTCTTTACTATAGTTTATGATTTCACCCACAGCTGCACTTATAGGCTTATAAGGATCAAACCAGTCTCTGTAACAATGGGCCTAGGCCAGTGGCAAAGTTCGTATATAAATTGTCCAGAATCCATTTTTTTGATGTTGAAAATCCATATAACTACAAATAATGATAGTGGCTCTGGACCAGAGAACTCTGGTGCACTACATGCCCTAATGCTAAATAAGTTTACTACTGTACATATTGACATTATATCCTTTCATTGTAGGTGTCAACAATTATGGCCACTAGTACGACTACATTACGTTACCCCGGATACATGAATAATGATTTGATTGGTCTAATTGCATCGTTGATCCCTACTCCTCGTTTGCACTTTCTCATGACAGGCTACACCCCACTCACTTTGACCTCTGATACGAAGGTAAAAAAAAAAAACCTCCCTCCCTCATCAGTTTTTTGGTCTTGGTAGGATGATAAACTAATAATTTTTTTTATGGGGCCTTATATCCTTTCATTGTAGGTGTCAACAATTATGGCCACAAGTACGACTACATTACGTTACCCCGGATACATGAATAATGATTTGATTGGTCTAATTGCATCGTTGATCCCTACTCCTCGTTTGCACTTTCTCATGACAGGCTACACCCCACTCACTTTGACCTCTGATACGAAGGTAAGTCCATTGGCTTTATCTTAATATGTGAGCACCTACAGTATACTGCAAATAACGTCTATAATATATGAGTTGTGGTTGAATTATTGCATTGTGGTTTTTTTCCTCAATGCTCTCAGGTTTCATGTATATTCTTAAGTTTGTTATTGTCTAATTTGTTTAATAATAATTGAGTATGGTTGATTGAGTACTGTAAAACCAGAAAATTTTGCGGCATGAATCTTTCGGGAATTGATCATTTCGGCCATTTTCGCAAATTAAACTTTTGCGAATCGCAAAGATCTTAATTTTATTTATGAGAGGAATACCATACAATAGCTGAAAATATCGTATTGTGAGTTCTAGGCCTAGGTTAGAGAGACCTACAGCCACTGTCTAGGCTACAGTAGCTAGGCGTAGGCTAGGCGCCATAAGCCTGCAGCCCTCAGCTGGAGGACCAGGACTTAGCTGGCCATCCCAGGCACAGTTAAGAAAGAGACAAGTTTATACACATACAGTACTCACGATACGATATTACGATATTCCTCAATTTTGTATGGTATTCAAACATCCTACAATGTACAATGTTTATCAAAACGTGTGTTTTATTAACAAATTATTTTCCTACACATTGACTGTTGATGACTAAACATCGTGGTATGTCATGGTACAAAAATTAGTTTCTATTTTAACTTCTTAATATACACTGCAGTGTGCAATCACATGCAGTGATAATCAGAATCTCCCTGATCAGTATACTTACTGATTAGGTTAGGATAGGCCTAGAATTTACATATTTTTCGAGCTCAACATCGGAAGTTAAGGTCAGAATATTGATTCAATAATTGAAATACATTCTATTAAGTTTATACACATTTAATAAAATTCACCAAAATAATTAAAAATACAATTTTTAAAATGCTAAAATTTGTTAACTCTTCACAAACATGTTGCAATTTGTGGAGATTTCCCATTTAGGCCTAGGCCCTAGATCTGCATTGCATCATCGTCGGCGAGTTTAGGCCTTGAAATACTGACAGTTCTTGCTGTTTATTGTTCATTATCATCTTTAAAAAAGTTTAAATTAATTTTTGGTGTAATTCAATGATTTATAATGACCAAAATCTCATTTCTGAAACTGGTTCGACATTCACGATGGTTAGATAGCACTCTAACGATCTTTTTTTTTTAAAACATAGAAAATATGACCTGAAAATTATTCGCGGCATAAAACTTTTGCAAATCAAGACTTAATGTTTAAAGCGTGCGAAATTTCCTGGTTTTACAGTAATATGATTATTACTCAATCTAGGCTCCAAATGTTCGTAAGACGACCGTACTGGATGTGATGAGAAGGTTGCTGCAACCAAAGAACATCATGGTGTCAACGACACTGAGGGATCGGCAGAGTGCTCACTGCTACATATCCATTCTAAACATCATCCAAGGAGAAGTAGATCCAACTCAAGTCCACAAGAGTTTACAGAGGATTCGGGAACGGAAACTAGCATCATTTATTCCATGGGGTCCAGCTAGCATACAGGTATAATTTTTTTTTCAGAAGAGGAAATGAGAAAGAGGGGGGGGGGGTTTGGGGGGGGGGGCAGTGTTTAGTCATCTCATAGCACATATTTAGGATTCAAAATTTTTTTATTATCAATGTACATTTGCTCGTTAGCAATATAGCTTCAAATAAAACAGGTAGTTGATAACAATTTTCTTATTTATTTTGACAGGCGAGACTTTTTTATACCTTGTTTCGCAAACTTATTTTTTGAAAGATTGTTTGTGAATGGCGGAAAAAAAGTAAAAATAAAATGTTTTTTTCTTATTTAAGAAATGGTGTTGCTAAAAACATCCAGATGAATGAGAAAATAAAAATACAATTTTACTGGTGAATGTAAACAGTGTTAAATGGGATGGTTAAATGCTTTAAATTTATATAATTAGCAAGAAATGCACATTTCATCTTTTTGGAGATTTTGAGTGGCGGGCATAATAAAATATTGAAAAACTTTTATTTTCTTCTGAAATTCCCATTTTTTAGCATGTGGTCTAACAGGCTAAAAATAAAATTTAATTTTTATTTGAAATCATCATTATGTTATATTAGATTTCTCTTTATTTATTTTGATTATTTGGCAGCTTTAAAATAGCTTTACTTTGAATTTGCCCTTCCGGCAATATTATTTATTACTATAAAAAGAAATATATGCTGCTTTGGATTAAATGGAACTAAAAATAATACATGTAGAATCTATATGCCACTGCACTGAGAATGAGTTGATTCTCAGGGGGTTCAGACCAGCATATATTCCCAGGTTATTCAAACAGAAAAAGCAATTAAGTTTAACTGTACTGAATTCCTTTATTGATTGTAATGATTATCTGGAACCATCATTGTGAAGTAGCACTAGGCAAGAGTGATTGTTTATGTCTTGGTGTGTTATTTACAATCTACCTGTGACAACTAATTTACAATCAAGAAAAAATTATCACACCTTATAATTAATTTTGCATACATGCTAAGTCAAAACGAATATAAAAAATAATTAACTACACTATATAAAAATATAAAATTAATACTTATATTTCGTACCCTGTAATTGCACCTTTGCAAAATTATTATTAACCACATATCAATCTGTTTATTTATGTATTAGAAATTTGACATGTTCATATACAAAACACATAAAAATGAAGTACAAAAAAAGACAGGGCGACATGCCAAGAGGTAATAATGGGATAAAGCCCAACACCAGAGTGAATTCTCTCTAAACTGCTAACTGTTCTTTTCCTTCTCTGCCTGTGATTGATGTTTGTTTTGTTGAATGTATTTTGAAATGGTTTCCAATTATAGGTTGATTAAGTTGTTCTTAAAACATGTAATAACATCTGGTGATATATGACATAAATGAAATTAGATTTTCATTCTCGGAAGCGTGTGGTTTGCATTGAGCAATTATTTTTAATGTGCGTATTGATCAACTACAGTATACTGCAATCTGTCTAGCCTTTGGATGTTTTGTTAAGATACTGTCTGATAAAAATCGGAGAAACCTAATAAATACAATTAAATTAATGGTGATTTTAAAGAAGAATCCAATAAATCATCCCCTTTATCAAAACAAGTTTATTTTCGCTGAATAAGTCTCAGTTTGGCTTCCTCAAATATTAAGTTTTTTCTTCATATACTAGGTTGCATGTTGAATAACGAGCAGCCTCCGTTTATGCAGAAGCCTAACTGACTGAGAAACCATCATGAAAAATTGGGTTCATTTGAGAACTGTCTCTATGAAATATGTTATATTGGGAACCAGATGAAACTAAACATATTTTTAAGGAATGTTTTCACCCCCATATCATTTGTGGCAAAGACAAGCCAAACCAGTCACTTGTCGCAATAATCAATTTTGAGTTAATAATACAGTGTTAAAGAGTAAAATAATAAAATAAATAAATAAAATGGTAAAAAAATTATTCAAATCCGCCATTTCCTTATCAAGTTACAGTATATGAGAAATCAGTCTTCAAAGTTTATGATTTCAAGCATTTCTCAGACTGAAACTATCATCAAATCCTTAAAACATGCCCTTAAACATCCTTAAATGTTGTTTTAACATTGGAAATGGAGAAAATAACAGCATACAGGTAGCATGATGTATAGATACATAAAGGTTAGTTTAGTGCAATCAAGGAGGTTAATTTAATCTCCTTGGTGCAGTAAAATAGATTTTTTTAAATTTGACATTCCAGCATGTTTTTGCCATTTTCTCTGAAACACAAGTGACTGGTTTGGCTTGTCTTTGCCACATTTATATTATTGATTGTTATATTATTGTTCCTTTTTCCTTCATTAAACTATCAAATTAATAATCTTGAATTGTTGAATATTTATACATGATTTTTTTTACCAGCATGTTATTAAATGTGTTAAGTTACATTGTGAAGGTAGTAAATATAATGAAGATAATAATACGGTACTGTATGTTTTTTGGAAGTTTGCATTATGAGTAAACAGTTTGTTGTACAGTATACTATGTTTGCAGTACACCACTTAGAGTTATCTATTTGAAATTTTCTCCATATAGTATTTTTCTCCATATATGTTTTTTCAGTATATTCTGCATGTCATCTTTTGTAGGTTGCCTTGTCTCGCAAATCTCCTTATGTGCAGACAGCGCATAGAGTTAGTGGCTTGATGCTGGCAAATCACACAAGTATTGTTTCAGTAAGTTGCTTTTTTCATCTCTTGAAAATGTAGGTGAGTTCAGAAAGGTATGATGGATGAAAAGACAGGAAATAAAGAGATTGGATGAGATAGGAATGTGAGATTGAATGAGATAGGAATGTGAGATTGGATGAGATAGGAATGCAAGATTGTATGAGACAGGAATGTGAGATTGGATCAGATAGAAAAGTGAGAGTGGATCAGATAGAAATGTGAGAATGGATCAGATATGAATGTGAGATTGGATCTTTAGGTATCTGGGATTGGTTGAGATTATAAGAATGTGAAATGGGATCAGATAGAAAAGTGAGATTGGATGAGGTAGGAATTGGATCTGATAGGATTGAGAGATTGAATCAGATAGGAATGTGAGATTGAATCAGATAGGAGTGTGAAATTGGATGACATTAGCATGTGAGATTAGATGAGATTTGATTGTTAAAAGGGATGGGTTGAACTTTAAATTGGATGTTCCCCAAACATTATATTGTATAATTGTATTTTAAAATGTGTTGAAACATACAAGCAAATATTGAAGTATTGAGCTAAAATATTTTTACTGCTTTGTATACTTTCAGTAAAAACATAAAATCCTTTTATTTAGGAAAGTAGTTAGTGTTTATAGTGAATGGGGGCTGGGGGAGAGGATTACATGAGATTTACTTAAGGGTGATATAAACTGGTCTGTGCATTGCAAGGTTGGAGTGAATGTAAAATCCATGCACTGGCATTCTCACATTTTTCCAGGGCCTCCGTTAGGGAGAAAAGCCACAATTCATCAGGGAGAAAAAAAAATTATATGTATTTTCTACATATTAGTAGACTCTAAAATTGTTTAAATAAGCCTTTGAAACCCTAAATTGTCAACATTTTCGGGGGCTGATCCGAGAAGACTTGTTCCACCACCAGAACCATAAGCGAGCGTGCCGTTCTAACTAGCACCGATATTATGGTTGTAGGTTGCAGTGCCCGCTGCAAACAGATCTTGTACTAAATGATAGTTATTTCACTTTAGTATCATACAAATTATATTTTTCAACAACAGTAGTTAACATGAAAAAAAATTATTGTAAAACAGATCCTGTTTTCAAATTTATTAGTAAAACTAGGCCTAGGTCTAGTCATGGAGTTATGATTGAGTCTCTTGTTATGTTGTTCTTTTAACGTCTTTCCAATTTTGGGTTGTTTATGTGCACATTAGCCATGTGTACACAGGACAAGCATTTTATGTTGTTTTCGATCGATTATGCCCTTTAGCTATATGTGTAATTATGATCAATTTCAGTTTAGTAATAAGGACCATCGTTAAAGTAGACAAAACATGGAGAAACATTTTTTTAGAAACGATATATTTTTATCACATATTTCTTTTTCAATTGACCTTTTTTTTTATTTTTTTATTATCATTTTATGCTTTCTTTCGGTGTATATTAAACATGCCTTAATTTTGAGCTTATACAGTTTTTAATATATAATGTTTATGTTTTAATGAGTCGGAATGTGTGGGTACAGAATTAAACTTTATTTCATGAAGTAATTAACCAAATATAGTAATTGAAGATAAATAAGAAAATTTGATTTCTCATAAATTTTCTATAAATAAAATTGGTCATTTCAAAATTGATTATCAATTTGTCATTTCAAAATTGATTATCAATTGTTTCCTTTCTTCATCTTTATCATCACTTCTCAAAACTTCTAGGGAGAATTCAGCTGAATAGTGGTTGCTTGCTA